TCTGACGAATCCTCTCTCACTCAAAGAATTCCCTGTTTTAGAATCACAGGCCAGGAAGTCAGAACCAGGCTGTCCTCTTGGTGCCCCAGCCTGGCTTCTTCCAGCAAAGGAAAGAGGCTGCTCTTTTTAGTGGCAACTGTACTGGCCCAGTCAGCAGGGGACATGGTTCCAGCCATTTCTGACCCTCCCTAGCTGTATGGCCTTGAGAGTGTCCCTTCTCTGCAACCATCCACCCAGGGTCCCACAGCCAGTAGGAACAAGGACTAGGACTCAATAATATAGCTCTCCAGAATTGTCTTGTGCTCACTAACTTCTGCTTGCCTTCCCTGGAGACCTCTGTCCAGTCTGCCAGTCCCCACACTCAGCCCTCCGGCCCAGATTTCTCCAGCCTTTGCCTGCCCAGCTGCTCAGCAGCTTGTGCCCACTCTCCTCACATGGTCAGATATGACCCCAGACACAGGCAGCCCAGACCACAGCTGACTGCCAGAGGGGAACAGCTGCACCAAGCAGACAGCTGCCACCAACCTGGCCCCAGGGCTCCACAGGGACACCCAGCAGTCACACACAGTCATGGGGACCTACTCAGGGAGCCTCAGAGGCCCTGGAGCAGGGCCAGGCACTAGGCCTGTCTTAAGGTCCCTCAGATGGTGGGGGTCCAAGCTCGGACCCTCACTCCCTTTTACACGCACACAGATGATCAGGCCGACACACATGCTCAGTCACTGGGGTGACAGTCCCTCCTTGAATTCTTCTTCAAGGGTCTCCCCTCCAAGGCTGGCCTCCCCCAACACCTCCCAGACTTCCCACCTCAGGCATCCCTTTCCTCTCTGGCTATTTCAGTCATTCTCTCCGCAGGCTTTTTCCCCTCAGCTGACAGATGTGAACAGGCTGCCTCACCTCAAAACAAACTCTCCAATGACCTTGGCCCCTTCCCTTCTCCCTCTTTTCCTATGGCACCCCTCCAGCACTGCCAGCTCTGTACCCATGACAGCACCAAGCTGACTCCTCTGAGAAAATATGCTGTAAACATTACCACCTGCCTGTCCCTCAGTCCTGCCCTTGTGCCTCGTGGTGGCCAACCTGACTGATGACCCCTCGGTCCTGTGCCCTTCTCTCCCTAGATGTGCCACTCACTTCTGTGGCCTCCTCTTCCTTGGTGCTCTACTGCCCCTCATTCCCCAAGTGTAGCATTTGCTGAAGTTCTTTCCTGGCCTCCAAGGTCTCTACTCCCCCCCATTCACCCCCATCAGCAACAATGGTCTGAAAGGGGCTCCTTACCTCTCCCCTTGCCAATACCTTCTCCCAAATTCCCTGTGCCCAGGGCTTCTAAATTGCCTAGCCTCCAGGCTTGGGGCTCCTCTGACAACCCTTCCTCTCTATTCAGTCCGCTTCCCCACCCTGTAGTCAATCACAAGCCCAGGTGCCTCTGGCTTCCCAGTCTCTCTCCCACGGGCCCCTCCCTTTTCAACCCCTCTAGGAGCCTGGAGGCCCTGTTTCTCTTCCTCCTGGTCCCCCTTTCCCTCCCTAACCCAACCCCCTACCCTGGGTCTCAAACTGACGTCTAGAACAGAACACACCCTCCCATCCATCCTGTCCTCAGTTCGGGCATTCAAGGTCTCCATAGCCCCCCCACACACCCGGTCCCCACCTTCCCTGACAGGTCTCCCAGTCAAAGGGACTCGGCACACCTTGAACTCTCCTGCCTCATGCCTCAGCTCACACCACCCACCGGGCATCTCCCTCACACATCTGCCATTTGAAACTCTTCCAGTCCTTCAAGGGTCACTCATGTGCTGGGGTCCTCTGTGGTCCCTCCTGCCAGGACTCCCAGAGCTGTCTTCCGTACAAAAATTAGACACAGCCCTGGTTGGAGCATTTCTTTTCTCCAGCTGGACGCTGAGCTCTGAGAGGCACAGACACCAACTCTGGCTGAGGTCGGTGTGTGGACTCACAAGTGCAGCAGGCACGTCTACACCCTGAGTACGTCTAATACACATGCCTCTACTCAGGCCCCCGCGCACCGCTCAGGAAGCCCCAGCTCCAGGAGCCTCAGGAAAAAAGGGGCCCGAGCCTGGCTGCCATCTAAGGAGATGGGGTCCCAGGCTCAGCTGACCTCCCATCTGTCCAAGCAGAGAGGCAAAGTCTCACCTCCTTCAGGTGGATTCTCGTAGGTGGCCGGCGCCGCTGGCCCCCGCGCACTCGGTCCCGAGTCACATGCTCCAGAGCACAGCTCTTGTCCACCTTTATCTGGGAAGGAGAAGGAACCAGGTCAGTCCCCAATGGGCCTTGGGGAGAGAAGGAAATTGACTTAAAGTCAGAGTCTGTACCCACATCCTCACTCACAGGGTCAAGAGGCCCACTGTTGCCCCTCTCTCTGAAACATCTCCCCATGTCCTCTGCTTTTCTCCCTGTTTCTACACTGCCTTTGTCATCTCTCTGCAGTCTGAGGTTCTCCCTCTTTGTGGCTGCCCTCCTTGCCTCAGTCTTCCTGCCCGAATATGGGTTGTCAGTCCTTGCCCCTCAGTCAACTGCAAATATATAAGTAGCCCCGAGGCTGCTTTTGGGCTTAGCTGGGGAGGGCAGCGAGGACAGCCCATGATCCTCTGGTACCTGTTTCCAGAAGAGGCCTTGCCCTGGCCCCAGCAACTCTGTCAGGGCCCCTGGGGATAGGCCCAGAAAGAGGAGGGCCTCTGCCCCTTGGGTCAGACTATCTGGAGGGCAGCATCTCCTCCCTGAGGGTAAGGAAGAAGGCTGAGGAGTAGTCCAGGCAGCCACTGAGTAAGATTCACACAGGAAATCCAGACTCTGAACCCCAGAGCAGCCTGTCCCTATGATTGGGGGTGGAGCCAAGACTGTCCAGCCCATAGGTGAGGCTCAGGGCTCAGGCCACCTGGGGGTCCAACTGTCTGTTTTTCAGAGGAGGAGCTGACCCTGCTCTGCCAACACTATGGGCTGAGGCCCAGCCCATGCTCCTGTACCCACAATATGTCCCATCACCCCTGTCCCACAAAATAGGAATATTTTCCCCAGCTGGTGAAGCACTGAGCATGACACAGTCACATTAAGAAATGATATACAAGCCATGGCTCAAAGTCAGGGGCCTTGGGAAGATTTGCTCCCCTTGGGTCTCAGACTTCACAATCCAAGGGTCACCCCAGGCAGCCTCCAGGTCCATTTTAGCCCAAATAGCTAAAAATCCATGATGTCGCCCTGGCCCGTATGGCTCAGTAGTTAAACAGCACCAGCCCACACACCAAAGGGTCTTGGGTTTGATTCCTGGTCAAGGGCATGTACCTGGGTTGCGGTTCACTCCCCACCCCTGGTTAGGGCACTTGCAGTTGACAACCAGTTGATGTGTCTGTCTCTCTCCCATCAATGTTTCTCTCTCTCCCTCTTCCCCTACTCCCTTCACCTCTCTCTAAAAAGCAATGGAAAAAATATCCTCAGGTGAGGATTAACATGATGTAAAAGATAACCCTCCCTAGATCTGGCCCCAAGGGACACCTTGCCTGTCTCAAGCCTGACTGTGGCCATTGTTGCCACGTCACCACTACAGCACAGGGGGATGGGCGGCCACTGCAGAACAGGTAGGGAGGACCAGAGCTAGAGCCAGCCTGGCTCACTTCATGGCCAAACTGAAAAGTGAGCTTTCTGGCTCTCAGCTCAACCTCCAAGCCTCTCTGGCCTGGGCCCACCTGCTGTTTGGCTGCAAGCCATTAAATTATACCCTACCACTTACCCATGTGTTCATTTTCTTTATTATTATTATTTTTTAATCTTTATCCAAGGACATTTTTTCCATTGCTTTTTTAGAGAGAGTGGAAAGGAGAGACAGAGAGAGAAACATCGATGTGAGAGAGACACATCGATTGGTTGCCTCCCGCACTTGGGATCGAGCCTGCAACCGAGGTACATGTCCTTGGCTGGAATCAAACCCGGGACCCTTCAGTCCGGGGGCTGACACTCCAACCACTGAGTCAAATCAGCCAGGGCCCATGTGTTCATTTCAAACAAGTTGCTTAATTTCCTCACACCTCAGTTTCTTCCTCTATAAAGTAGGAATGCTACCACCTCTTTGAGGGGTGTTGTGAGGATTAAATGAGGTAACAATAGCATGCCCCAGTGTTTGTAGCAGGGATATAATCAAGGGGTTATCTGAGGTGAGGTGGGCAGGGTCCTCTCTGAGCTCACGCACAGTGGGAAAGGGGACACAGAACTGTCTGTCCACAGGACTTCATCGCACCTCATCGAAAGCCTTGTTCTTGCCTCGGCTGATCCCTTCATTGAGGGCTTTGATCCAGGATTCCTTCTCCTCTCCACTGGGTGCTTGGAATTTGATATCGCTGACCTGCAGGGGACACGGGTGTGGTAGATGGCAGATGTTTAAACGGGCTCACATTTGTGGTCTTAAGGAAGCTTCCCACCCCAGATCCCAAAGTTGGCTGTGGCACAGCTGGCTAGAAGCAAACCAAAGTGACCTCCACAACAGGTCTGACTCTGGGGCTTCAGGGGAAGGGAGGGGACAGGTCCAGCAGAGAAGGGGCTCCCTCCCTGCATACAGCTGTCAGAGACTTAGATTAGAATCAGCCATGCCCTGTGGAGAGAACTCAGATCTGGTCCTGCTGCATATGACTGCCTACCCTAGGCTAGCCACCTGACCTCTGGGCTCCAGTTTTCTCTGAAGTAGGGGTAGTCCCAGTCTCCTGGGACTGAGGTGACAGAGGTGACAGACATGGGGGTGTCCATTGGTGAAGGCCCACTGGAACCAGGAACACCTTCAGGTCCCTAGTGGTCCCCATACCCAGCCCTGGCCCCAAATGAAAAAGTTCCAGAATCTCCTTTCTGGTCTTGAATCATAGACTATAAGAGAGAAAGGGCATTGGGGGTCAATCCCACCTCCTCATACAGATGAGGAAACAGAGGCTCACCAGATGGGATGGCATTTGACCAAGGAGGCCTAAACTAATCCCATGACTCCTGACTCCATATCCCATGCCACCCACCCCACAGGTCTCTTCCCATCTTGGGCAGGAGCTCCAAGCTCCTATGTTAGAATCAGAGGGCAGCTCAGACAGTTCCTTGCCCCTGGCTTGCCAGGCCCCAAGGTCAGACAGGAAATGATGGAAGGAGTGAGGCCATGCAAACCCAGAGGCTGCTTTGCATGGTGGACATAGCAATGGGGCCTCTGAGCTAGACAGACCACCACTTATAGCTGGCAGACCTTGAGCCTCAGTTTCCTCATCTGTAAAACAAGACCACCACCATGACCTGTCTCGTGGAGCTGTGAAGGTCACTGATGTATTTAAAGTGTTAAATCTGGAGTCAGGCACAGAGTGCTCAGGAGTAGAAATTATCACCATGGCCTTCCTTCTGGACAAAACAGTCCCAGTTTCCTCATCTGCAAAAATGCTGAGGGAATTCAGCCTGAGCAAAGCCAGGGTCCAGGACATAGTAGGTACTCAGTAAATAGTTACTGAATGAATGAGCCAATAAATGAATGAACTAGCCCAAGGTTCCTCCCCTTGACCCATTTTTGGGCCATTGCCCACTCTCTGTCCTCAAGATGCCCTAGTTCTTTGCCTGGCAGGTCGCCAACCTGCCCATCCCCCACCTGATGCTCGCCTTCCCTCCCGCCACTCTTCCAGTTATGTAACACCGAAGGCCGCCTGGCCCCTCAGCATCCTAGTTATATAACTTCCTCCTGGCTGCCTCCTGCTTCTCCTCATGCAGGGCTCTGGGTCCCACCCACCTCCCCATGCCAGGCACAGCCAAATGCTCATTTGCATGACCAGGGTAAATTTGATACTGGCAGCAGATCTGCAGTTAAGTCAGAAACCCCAGGGTACCTTGGCAACTGCTTCTTAGCCCAGCCATCAGGGCTTCTGGGAGCTCAGGGAGGAACAGCATTGCATCTAGGCTCTGCAAGGGCCCACCCAACCCTGTGATGGGGTTGTGAAAAGGTGGAACCAGGGCCAGCCCCTCTGAGCCCAGCTGCTTCTGCTCACAGGCCCTGAGTTGGTGGGGCCCCTGCCTGATGCAGAACTTAGCATCCCAGAGAGCTTGGGAGGCATGTACTTGAACTCAGCAATAGATGCAGCAAGAGTGGGGCAGAAAAAGAGCACTGGCCTGGAAGTCAAGATCAGAGTTCTAGTCTCACCAACCTGCAATGGCACCCTGCTCAGGTCTTTTCTCTCGGGGCCTCGATGGGACAAGTACAGAACCACTGAACCCAACCCAAACTGCGGCCTTCCCATTGGCCAGCCCACCCGAGGCAGGCTGCAGGGGAGGGGGGTGTTAGCCAAAGGGCTCCCCTAGGAGAAGGAATACAAGGTGAAATGAGACCCAGCCCCACCCTCAGGAACCTTGTGATTCTGGCCGACTGAGCCAGGCATCCCACAGGGTGATCAGAACAGGGATAAGCAGAATACCAAGAAGTTGCTCCTCCTGCCCCACCCCCACTCCCATGTCTTGAAGAGCCACAGGCTACACAGGTCTCTGCCCAAGTCCTTCCAAGGAGCCCCAGGATCAAAGAACCTGAGGATTTTAGGAGCTAACAGGTCTGGCCACCAAATAGGCCAACACGGTCTGGGAAAGGGGGAGAACAAAATGGCAGAGAGGAAAAAAGTGGGAGGGGGAGAGGAGGCAGGAAAAAGGCAAGGCCAAGCTGGCTGCGACCAGCAGGCAGCAAGGCCCAGCAGAGGCCACCCTGCTTCCTGGCAGCGGCTGCCTGTGACCTCATGGCAGGGGCGTGGGGATGGGGAGACAAGGGGGAGAGGGGCATGCAAGACACTGGAGTCTTTGTTTATTTGATTAGAAGGAAAAAACAGGCGGCCCCAGGACCAGACAGCCGGGGTCATGTGACCTCCCAGCCAGCGGGCAGTCTCACTGAGGATAGGGAACACCCAGGGCGATAGGAAAGGAGGGTGAGAGGATGCGGGAGACAAGTACTCTAGGCAGTCCCCCGTGTGCCCTCCGGAGAGCTTCCACTCTGTGTGAGCTCCTGGGGTGGCGAGGGTTAGGGAGCTCTTGAGTTGGAATCAGGGTAGACTGTCCTCCCACTGCTCTGCAGCCCCCACCAATTGTTCTATAGACCACTCCCGACTGATCATCCTGTTCCCAGAGTCACTCTGAGCCCACCAGAACTCTGAAGAATTGGGGAATGGAAGGGAGGGTGCTGGCCAAAGCAGGTGAGAATGTAGCTGCACAAACAGGCCTTTCCAAAGGTGATGACCCACCCTGCACTGGGCCTGACCCACCTGTCCTACCACCAGCTGATCCTCACAACCGGACAAAGGAGGTGGGCCACAGAACAGCACTGGCAAAGGACAGAGGCAAGGCCCTCTCCACTCCATGTCCACATAAGCTCACTAAGAAACACACAAAGACCCAGACAGACCGTGGCCAGGTGAACACACACCTGCACATAAAGGTACACACATATGCACTGGCCACAAGTGTGCAGATCTTCACACATAAAGAACTCTGCATGTCTCTCAAACACACATACACAAATATATCTCCCACTAGAGAGAAAGCAGGCCTCCACGACAGGGTAGGGGCTTCTGGCCTAACAGACCAAAATACGGCTCTCCTCTTCCTCAAAGAGCCCTAAGCAGCAGATGTCACATGAAACCTATGCCCAGCCCCATGAACCGTCATGACACTATAAACCCGCCCATGGGCACGCCCCCAATCCCAGGGTCAGAGCCCCGCAGTTGCTTCTTTGCACCCACTATGGGCAGAGCAGGACAAAGGGTTAGTAAGTAAAACAGCATGGTCTCCTCCAAGGCCTAGAGCCACCAAGGACTAGGCTCCTGGCTCTGAAAACTGAGGAAGAAACACAATGGCCTCTAGCAGGCCCAGACCAGACCCACTCCAACCCCCAGCCTCTGTGACTCAGCCCCACTCTGGGAGGCTCCACATGACGTGCAGAGGTCCGGGGAGAGGCGTGACCCAGCTGCAGATGGGCGAGATCTGGCTCGAGGTGCTGTACACGCCAGCCTCAAATCTGACTCCCTCCTGACATCTGTGAAACTACGCCATGCATCAACACTCACCCAGACTCCCTGCCAGAGATATGCGGTACAAACAGAAAACCTCATCTGCACACACAGCATGTCCCAGGGAAATAACCTCTTAGGCAGGAGACTTTCTCCAGCATTATTAGCCAAGAAAGGAAAGTGCAAGAGGAGGAAAGCTGGGAGGCTGCATGTCTCAAGCACTGAGCGCAGGATAGAGAGCCCACCCAGGAAGGCCTGGGGTAAGGGGAGGCCACTCCTTCCCCACTGGCCCAGACTATGTTATGGTGTCAGAGGCCTGGTGGGATGAAGACCTCATCCCCAGCTTTCCTGCCTCAGCTCTGGGCCTCCTGTGTCCAGGGTGTGGGAGAAGGCCAAGTGCCCCACCTCCCAAAGGCTACTTTCCAACTCCAGCCTGGGAAGAAGGCCCCAGAGCCTGGAAGGGAAGAGGGGAGAGAGGATCAGAGCTCTCAGCAGAGCCCTAAAAGCATCTCCTATCAACCAGGGGCTGGGAAGACTCCAAGGCAAAATGAGCAAAAGGTCTAACCTGTGGCGGCACCAGAGCTGAGCCTTAGAGCCTTAGAGAGCGTACAGGCTGCATCCAGGGGCCCAGCCTGTCTTAGGGCCTCCAGGGATGATCTCCCAAGCAGATCCCAGCCTAGAGGAAGGTCAGGCCACAGCAGACACAGCCCTACCTTGTTCCCTGGGGATCGCAGTAGGATAAATCGGTGCTTCCGTTTGAGGAGGGCACGGAGGTCCTGGCACTTCTCATAGCTGCCCAGCTCCACTGTCTCCACACACTTCTGCTCATCCTGGGGAGAGAAACAGAGGGGACATGAAATAGTGAGAGCTGGACACACCCAGACCCTCAGACACCCAGGACCCGCCTCAGACCCTGGTCCCACTTAGTGAGGGCATCACTTGGTCAGGGGGACCCCAGGCTGCCAATCAATCACCAAGATGAGGTATTCAGACCCTGGCAAGTCCGTGCTGGCTGAAGGGACACCCTCAAGGCTAACTGTGCACATGAGATATGGGGCTCACAGTCCCAAGTGGGGAGCAGGGCTGACTCAAGTGCGCCTAAGGCAGTAGGAAGAAACCAGGGGAGCTGGAGAGGCTTAGAAAAGGTGCCTGGGGGTCCATGCAGGCCCAGAGACCAGGCAGAGATGTTTGAAAAAGGAAGCCTGGAAAAGGCAGCAAATTGTCACAAAATGAGAAAAAAAACACGCTTCCAGGCAGAGCCATAGAGAGAAGTGTGAACAAGGCATGCTTGGGGCTACATGTCCCACCTTCACCACAGTGACCCTGAGTTGCTTTCTCCACTGGCATCTTCCTCCGCTGACCCTTGGCTTGGGGAGAGGGCACTCTCCATGGCCTGAGCAATGGTTCCTTTAAAAGCACCCCACTCCCAGGTTGTCATCCTAAGGCCTCATCAACAGAAGGGCCAGTGGCCAGGACAGTGTTCAGCCTCTCCTAGGCCACCCCTGGGCACTGGCTAGACTCCCTTCTTGCCCACCAGCCCTGGCACCTGAGTGTTTTCTCCACCAGGAGCCTCTCTAGCAAGCTGCCTGAGATAAGCTCCCCCCTCAATGGTGATCCATTGGTTCCTATTCTAGGAAGACCTAGCTGGGACAACTTCCTGGATGTGGCACAGTCTCACCCTGGACACTCCAGGGAAATAGAAATAGGTCCTAGGTTGGCACGGGCAGGAGAGGCACTGCCCTGGAAACTGGCCAACAAGTGAAGCTACTATTGGATGTCACACAGTCAGCCAGCAAGAGCACCCATCAGGGACCCCCTCAGTGCTCTGCAGTTGGGGTGTAATATCTGGGAAGCAGTGACTCAAATTTATTTGCAGTGGAAATGCCCTAACTTCCCTCCATGAATCTGCATATGCAGTTGGCCCTCTATCCGAAGGTTCCACATCCACAGATTTCATCAACCTCAAATCAAAAATATTTGGGGGAAAAACATTACGTTGTTGCTGACATATTGGGCCTACCATGATTACTTCTTTACTCAACATGCACAGACATTTCTTTCTTGCCATTACTTCCTAAACAACTATTTATGTAGCATTTACATTGTATTAGTTATTAGAAGTAAACTAGAGATAATTTAAAGTATATGAGAGGATGTATATAGGTTATATGCAAATACTATGCCATCTTATATAAAGAACTTGAGCATCCATAGATTTTAGTGGGTCCTAGAACCAATCCCCTGTGAATACCAAGGGACAGCTATACTATGAAACCCTGACACTTAGTGATCATTTTTGCATCCCTGATTCTCCCGAGCCTCTCAATCACCCGGAAAGCCTAGAGTCCCAGTGTTTGCCTCATTTTACAGAGGAAGAGACTGAGGCTTAGAGGCCAACTGATTTGCCCTGGTAGCACAGACCCAAATATAAGGGGCAGAGCCAAACTCAACCCCACATCCTCTGACTCCAGGCCAGAGCTCCTCCAGGCATGGCACACTCCTCCCAGCCAGGGGCAGAGGCTTGGTCAGTGCCTTAGCAACAGGCTGCTCTGCACCAGTGATCCTCCAAGTGTGGTACCTGGTCCAGAAGCAGCAGCATAACCTGAACTTGTTAGAAATGCAAATTCTCTGGCTCTATACCTACTGAATCATAATCTTAGTGGAATGGGGCTGGAAATCTGAGTTTTAACAGCCCTCCAGCTGATACTGATGTATACAAAAGTCTGAGAACCTCTGTTCTACACCAGAGGTTCTCAAACTTGGTGGCACTGAGACCTTTAAAAATCCCAGTGTCCACCCTGGCCAGGTGGCTTGGTTGGTTGGAGCATCATCTCGTAAACCAAAAAAAGGCTGTGGGTTCTATTTCTGGTCAGGGCACATGCCTGGGCTGTGGGTTCAATTCCCAGTCAGGGCACATACAGGAGGCGACTGATCAATGTTTCTCTCTCACATCCACATTTATGTTTCTCTCTCTCTCCCCGCCCCCTTCCTCTCTCTCTAAAGTTAATGGGAATATATCTTTGGGTAAGGATTAAAAATTTTTTAAAATCCTCCCCAAAATCCTGATAAACTACATCAGGATCCCTGGGGGGTGGAGCCCAGACATAAAAGTATTTTTCAAAGCAGATGACTGTACAGCTAAGGTGGATAACCACTGATCTGCCATCTCTTCAGCCCTCAGGAAAAGAGGAACATATGGCCAGGGCAGCCTGGTTTCTCCTATGCAGGGTCAATCAGGTATCTCTCCTATTTTTGCCTCTATATATCTCTTTCCAACCCCTAGTCTCCAATCCCTTCCACATTTCTCCATCAAGACAAGAGAGAGTAAAATCTACCTGGTCCAGGAAACTCCACTGCCCCCCTCCCCCATGAGCCCAAGCCTTGGTGCTCTCTCCCTCCTTTGAGGCCCCCCATCCACAAAGCACCTGCCAGGTGCAAGCACTAGACTAGGTGCTAGGAACACCCTGCTGTGAGGAAGAACAATCCTAGCTCCCTGCTGGGCCATCTCTCTACCTTATGCTGCCTATGTCTGCTCTCCTTTCTGTTCCCCCTACAGTGCCCTGCAAAGGGACAGCCCTCAAGGGCGACATATACAGGGCCAGTTTGCTGGACCAAATACCTGACCCATAGTGAGACCCCAGGAAGTCCTCACCTACTGGGCACCTAGAGGAAGGGAGATGTTTGGAAAAGGACCCCCAGTTGCAGAGAGTGCAGCTCAATGGCCCCATGTGGACATGCTTCCCCCAACTGGACAACTACTAACCCAAACAAAAAGTCAGTTCACCTCCACCACCCAGCTCCCCACAACTGCCTGACCTGGGTCTCTCCACCCAAAACGCTGAATCATCCGGCCCTTCTGCAGCTCAGAAAAAACAGATAACCCAGCGGGTGCTGGGCGGGGGCAGCATTTCTGGAATGTCAGCCTCACTGACAGCAAAGAGACAGCCAAGAGCCATTCACACTAGCCTAGTTCCTTACATCAAGAAAGAGGAATTGAACTAATAAGCATTTCTCAATTCCTACTCCTGGGTCAAGCTCCCCACCCATGAGAGGGCTAAGTCCTTGAAGCTTCATTGAGGTTTTCAATAGTGATTTTTTAAAGCATGATTTAGGTTTTTCATGTTTAGGGGCTGTGAAATCCTTCCTGCTTCCCAGCTGTGGCCAGATGTGAAGAGGCAGCTCAAGACAAGTCTGGCAGCGCCAGACAGGCTGACAGCTGGGGGCCTGTCACTCAACCCCGGCAGCTGGGACTGGAGGAAGCTTTGACAACGCCCTTTATTTATAAAAACATCCCCTGCTGCCACCACAGCACATCCTCATTTGGTGAGAGCAACGGTATAGAACATCTGGGGGGCTGTCTGCACACCCAGCTGCTTCTTTGACACCCCAACTCCATGCCTGAGCCTCGGGCAGGAAAGGCAAAGTGCTTCTCAGGGGTAGCTCCTTTAATCACAGAGGCCTGAGTGCCCAGTCTTTCTTGGCCTGGGACGATTATGAACTTGCCAAGATACCCTGAGGCATGCTGAGAGAGGCTGGTGAGGAACAGGCAGGATGCTCTTTCTGCCACCAGGCCAGTTCTTCCCCATGTACTCCATCTGTCGAAGGCATGCAGTGGTAGCCCATTTGCAGTGGGTGGGCCCTCTGAGAGCCTCAACCCCAGAACACAAACATCATTTATAAGTAAAAGCCACCTTTCCTCCTCAGGTCTTCACCCAGAGCTTTGTCAACTCTTAACACACAATTTTAGCATCCTTGGTTGTCCAGGTTCCAAAGCCTGCTGAAATGAGAAGGGACACAAGCCTGAAGTGGGAAGATGTGAGGACTGTGAGAGGCACAAGGACAGCAGCAGTGGCAACTGGTAGCTTGATGTTAAAGGAGAGAGAAAAGCTGAAAGGTACAGTCTGCCAGTACAGAACAGTCCAACTGTCAGTGCCTCTGAGCCACCGAGGAAAGACTTAGTTTAGGCTGGTGCCTTCCTTTGAAGAAGGCAGAGAATATTCAATACATTTTAGAGAACTTGCACCAAAAATAAGTTGTAGAGTTTACTTGCTGGCATTAGTGAGTGGAAATAGCACTAGGTTTGGTTCTAGACCTGGCTCCTTCATTCACTGAGACGCTGAACAGTCATTTGGCCATCTCGGCCTCAGGATCCATCTCTGCAGAATGTGACATGATCACCATGCTCTTGGGACTGTCGTGAGCGTTATATGAGAGTTCCAAACATGCATGAGCGATAAGTATTATTTCTACTATCATTGATAAGTGGAGCAAGCTTTAGTTTTCTGGCACACTCACATATGTGGAACCTAGCGCAGGGCCAGGGAGTTGCAGTGTTGGTGTGCAACTGAGAAGACACACACAACCTTATGCACATATGCTTCAAAGGGCCCCTCATCCAGGAGCCCTAGACTAGCATGTAGGGGTATGGTCCCATGCCGCAGAGACCCAGAGAAGATCAGGTGCTCGTCCAAGGTTGCACAGCATGGCAAAAATGAAACAGATCTTCCAGTCCCGGTTCTGAAATCCCCCTGCTGGCCTGGGCTGCCCCCACTTTGCCCCCCGCCCCAGCACCCCTAACCTCAGGGTCAGGAAGGTCCTCACCTCATTCTCGTACACCAGCAGCTGGGCCTGGCAGAGGAGCAGATAGCGGTCTTTCCAGAGCCCTAAGAAGCCCCCGCTGCTCTTCTTGATCCAGCCAGCCTTGTCTACCGTCCGTGCTCGCTGAGGCTTCTCGCCCTCCTTCACACCCTGTAAGATAGTACCAGAACATACCTTGAGGGTTGCCGCCATGGGGCCACACAGTCCACAGGCCAAGCTAGGGGCATGTCCCTATGCTGGGTACCTACTGATATCTTCCCATGTGAGCTTCCCCACAACCCCCAAGGCAAATATTATTAATCCAGTATTAGAAATAACAGTAATTCCAGCAGCAACAACATTAGCAGCAGCCACCTTGCATTGAGCCACCATGTTCCACTTTCACACACTGTCTCATTTGGCCCATACAACTACCCTCTGAGGTGGTGGCACCATTATCTACATGTTACAGCAACCTCAGAGAGGGTAACTTGCCAGAGTAGCACAGCTGGAAGGACAGAGCCAGGATTCAAACTGGGGCTCTGACTCTAGTTCTTCCCCTATCACACTGCCCCCCATGTGTTCATTCAACCAGCCAACAAATGCTGTACAAGCACCTACAACCTCCCGCATGCTGGAGCAGGCAGAGAGGGATAAAAATAATGGATCTCTGCCCTCATGGAGCTGGGGAAGGAGGAGCTGAGCAGATAAACACTAGACAGAAACACATTAACAAGTGTGAAACACTACAAAGGAAATAATGAAGGGTGGGGTTGGAGGGTGAGAGGACAGTGCGGGACCTGCTTCAGGTAAGGTGGCCCAGGAAGGCCTCCCAAAGGAGAGGACATTCAAGCAGAATCAGAAGGACGAGAGGAGGGAAGTAGGCAGAGTGGTAATCTCCCTGTCAACCCCTGCTCTTCTAAAGAGCACCCCTGGAAGCCCCTGCTTCTGCCCCAAAACAGGAGGCTCCTCTGCCCTCCTCCCCACCCAAGTCCAGGACTTTGGGGCAACCACCCCATCTGGTGAGGGTCCCAAGGGACTTGCCTTCGACCAGAGTCCTTCTCTAAGACATGGCAGCCACCCTGGGGCCTCCAGGCCAGCTACTGTGCCCCTCGACTACCTGCTTGGGTAGCTGGGTGCCAGGTGTATGCTACCAGATGAGGTCAGATTCACCTCTGGTCCCCAGCACCCAGCACTGTTCCTTTACACATAACGGGTGCTCAAGAAATATCTGTGAAATGAAAGTAAAAATACATCCAATTTGCTAACCACTTTGCTTCAGTGACTGCTACACACAGTAGTAAGTGTGAAGGGGAGGGTGGAGGAGAGGGGACCAAGAGCGTGTCAGAATCTAGAGGATGCTAGAAGGAAATTAGCACTAATTTTGACTACTTTGTAATTTACATAAAGCTCAAAAAAGTGGCCCCAGTTAAAAGCAGCACACCTCTCCCCAGGGGATACCCTGTGGCCACAGCTGCCTTTGGAAGGACAAGCCCAGGCAAATGGAAGTGTGGTGAGTTGCCAGGGGCTGGGCAGGGCATGGCCTCCCTGCTTTCTATCATGGCAGGGGAGCCCCAACCTGGTTCTCACTGTGCCCCTTACCCTTCTGAACTATATACTCTGGGAGTTGGGGATCTGAGCTTTGAAACCCAAGTCACACAGACCAGAAACAAGTCACTTGATCTCTCTAAGCCTCAGTTTCTTCATCTGTGAAATGGAGATATAAACAACAGTGGCAAAGATTGTAACTCCACAAGAGCAGGGATTTTTGTTTTGTTTACTGCTGTATCCTTGGTGACAAGACAATGTCTGATACACAGTAGGTGCTCAATAAATGTTTGTTGCTGAATAAAGATATGGCATATAAAGCGGTGCCTAGGATACCTAAAGTTAGTAAATGGTAGCTGCTATTATTATTATTGTCACTGCCACTCCCTCTGACTCTCAGGGACTCCTATCCCTGGGCCTGGTTCAGAATTTAGAACAAGGCCCTTTCTGGCCTTAGCTCCTGGGCATTAATGCCCCTGCAGCTCCTTGGAATGTAAGGAGCCCCCCAGGGTCTCTCTCTAACTTGTAGATGACAAGGAAAATGGGGAAGTGAGATGGTCCCGAATGGTTTTCCACCATAGAGGAATGAGGAAGCGGAAGGCTTGCCTACAGGCCAGTATGAGCCACCCTGACCTGGAGAAGAGGGGACTTCAGGCCCTTTACAAGAGAGGGAGGCTCTTGTATCCTATCATCCACTCAACTCCTCCTCCCTCTCCCCCCATCACCAGAGACGCTGTGTTCAGCCCCACTGGGCTGTGTGACCCACAGAGGCCTCATCCCCCCAGGGCTAGAAGGGATGAAGGGGGGGGGAATGGGAAACCCCACCCCCACATTTCAAACATCACACCTCTCCATCATCAACTGCAGCACTGTTGGCTACTTCCTAGGCCTGCAGCTACAAGTTTTTCTTTTTTCTTTCTTTTTAATGTATTTTTACTCATTTTACAGAGAGAGGAAGGGAGAGGGAGAGAGAAACACCCATGTGTGAGAGAGAAATAGGGATCAGTCACCTCCGGCACGTACCCCTACTGGGGATCGAACCTGCAACCTAGGCACCTACCTGACAGGCAATCGAACTGGCAACCTTTCAATGCACAAGATGATGCTCATCCAACTAAGACACTCCGGCAGGCTATAGGTCTCTCTTAAACAAGGCAATAGGGATAGTGGGGCATGAAGCTGCTGCCTGGGTGTCCCATCTCTGAGCTCCAAGCTCCCCTCCTGCTTTTCAGGGGCCCACTACCACCCCATGGAATCTCACACCTCTTTCTAAACCCCCTCCCCTTGTGACCTCCCCTGCCTGCCTCACCCACTAATACGTAAAAACTTCCTGCCAGCTGGAAGCTCCCAGGGTGCAAAGCTAGGAACTTGTGCCTCGACCACTGTCTTCTCTGGTTGTAGCAGAGCAGTGCCCAATGAATACTATGGCTGGGTTAAGTAGAGAAGCCAGTCCAGGGCCTTAGAGATGGGTGGGGCCAGGATGGGACTGAGGCATGAAGGCACTTTGGGATGGGTGAGTGACAAGTGAGGGGCTGGAGGCATGAACCAAAGCCCAGAGAAGGGTCTCCTTATCATGAATCAGCAACAGCAACAACTACCCAAAGGAAGGTCTGGCTGGAGGTCCTACTTGCCTGCCACCCTTCACCCAGCTCCTCTCCCTGCCCCTCAGACATTCTCCCATCAGGGGGCCTGGCTATGCCCCAATACATTTTAATAAGTGGCCCCACCCCTTGGCAGGGCTCACAGGGGAGGTTTTGTCCTGCTCAGCCCAGTTTCTCAGCCTCCTCTTCTCTTATTGACCAGCTGACCACTGTTCTTACATGTTTCGTCCTCTCCTCTCCCAACTATCCTCACTCAGGCCCTCCCCTGCCCACTGTGGGCAGCTTCTGAGGCCACCCGTAGGCACAAGCCTGGCTCCCCTTTGCCTGAGGTGGGAAGGTCTCTGGGTCATTCATTAAAAAGAAAAAGAAAACAATGCCAGGTCACCCTGACCCTATGCACAGAAGGGAGCAGGTGAAAAGCCACAACACAGGCCATGACAGAGAGACAGAGACCAGCAGAAGAAAACCTGTTGGCACCTCACATCACAGAGAACTTGTGATGATGATCTTTGCCCTTGGACTAAACCCAGTGATGCTCTGACTAAGCTCTGCTAAGAACCACCATGTCAGAGTCCTGCGAGGAACTTCCAGTCTGATGGAGGCAACACAGATGCTGCTTGAGGGGCCCCAGCCTGTTGTGAGGGACATGGCACCTACCTGGAGGGATACCTCAGTCCTAGATCTCTAATGGAATAAGGAAGGGCTTGGGGTTAGTTTGGGAAGCCCTTGCAGAAGGCAGGGTTTTGATAGGACTGTGAAGAGGGAAGGAGACACACACCTTGGCCTGAAGGAAAAGGAGAGATACAAAGGGTATCAAAGACCCTACACTCTCAACTCCTTCACTATAGAATGAGAAAGTACAGGCCAGAGAAGACCAGAGATTAGCTCGAGGTAACAAAACCAGTCCTGGGACTGGACACTGCCCTGCCTCTCTCTAGATAGGAAAGGGCAACTGAGCAGCCTGGAGGCCAGACCAGGAAAAGGCATGACTAAGAGGACAAGGCGTAGAACCCCAAGGCAGAGACGGGAAAGCCTGAGTCCAGGGTTTTCAACTTATTCCAGGGTCAAGAATGCCTCACATTGATATTTGCAGTTTTCAAAGCTTTTGTACATATCATTGCATTTCTGGATCACCCACCTCCCTTGTTTTATAGATGGGGAAATGATGTCCTGAGAACACAAGTGGACAGATGCCCAGTGCCCAGACCTGCACTTCACCAAGCCTCAGCCTGACAGGGTTTACCAACCCATTGCACAGAGGGGGTCACTGAAGCTGAGGGGCTTGGCATGGGGAATGGGGAGGAAGCTCAAAACTAGGGGGAGGTCTGAAAGCAACCATGTGGGAGTGAGATGATGAGGCCAGCCTGGGTCATGAAGGAGAGCAGGTGACAATGACCTAAGAGGGGTTTCAGAGAAACAAAGATGGGGCACTGAGGCCTAAAGAAACAAGGGTAAGTGACAGAGAAGAAATGGAAGGAAAAGAGTTAGGGATGCTAAAGAGTTGGGGGATAGGGAGCCCCTGATTGTGTGGGGAAGAGGTAAGCAAGACCTTAGATAGCCCGACTACGCCAGTAGTTTTTTGGCACAGTCAGTAAATGGCAAAGTTAGAAACTCAGAACCAGAGGGAGTGCAGGGCTGGGCTGGGCTGGCCACGAGACAAACCATGGGCCCAGGAGGCCCCAGGAGAACTTCCCTTAATTGGGGGCCAGAGCAGATCAGAAGATGGAGTAATCCTGTCCCACATCCTCTGGGAGAAGGGGAGGGGCCACCGCCAGACAGCCCAGCCCTCACAACAGGGACCTGGGGCAGGAGAGGGCAGCCCCACCTCTGTAAGCAAGAAACCAAAGCAAAATCACAGTGGACTAACTTTGCCCCCTACTTCCACCCACTCTGAGAGAAGGGGCCATAATCATACTGTCAGGGTCTGGGGAGGAGGCCCTCAGGCCCTGTATTTTATAGAAGAGGAAACACAAGCTGAGAGGGGAAGTGACTTATCTACCATCCCACAGAAATGCAGCGCTGGCCTGGAGGGAACCCTGATACCCCAGTTGCCCCTGGGCAGTGACAGTAAGGAAATGGGCACTGATGGGGACCCAGGCAGCCTGGGACCCCAGGTGGCCAGAGTGGCCCCACGAGTGAAGGCTTCATCTTTCCTCCCCACCCACCCAGGCACAGACATATATACCCTTCCCTTTGGCTGGGAGGGACAGAAGCTGACCCCCCTCAGAGGACAGGCAGCAAAGTCCTCTAGACTCAGCAGGCCCCCCTCTAATTTATTCATTCCACAGGCACACATTAAGTGCTTGCAGTGCGCTTCGATGATGGGGCTGCTGGGAGAACTGTGTTTACAAGTAAAGGGCAAGAGTCGCAGAGTGCCTGACCCCACCCCAGACCAAGAGGGTCCTGAGGGGGAAGAGAGAAGCTCCGAGGGCACTGCTGGTCCAGCGCCCATCTCCTCCCCAGGGCTAGCCTCCCAGGGGAGTGGGGAAGGCAGGGGCCGCATCAGCCCCTCCTGGGCCAACTCCAGGGGAGGCGAGAGGGCAGGGTAAAGGGGACTCACAGGGACTTCTACAGGGGAGGAAAAAAAGCAACTTCTCCAGTTCTCCGGCGACCAGATGGGGTCACAGCCTGCAGGTTCCTTCAGACAGGCACTCGGGGACCCACAGACCCCGCCCCACCACACGCAGAGACCCAACACTAGTGTACGGTCCGACCCGGCGGGCAAGGAGAGTCCGCGGTACCCCGCGCTCGAGCCCGGCACCCCAGGCCACTGTCAGCAGAGCCTCAGTCTCCGCGTCAATCCAATGGGAACAATAACATGCCCACAGTGGGTGAGAAAAACCAGAGAGAGAATGAAGACGGATGGGTCGCCGAAGTGCCGGACGCGATCCCCGCCCCCGCCCCCCAGCCGAGGGTCTGCCCGGTGGGGGATGGGGGAGGTGGGCCGGTGTCCCGAAACCCCCGGGAGAGGGGCTGGCTGGAACAAGGGCCCGAGCCCGGGACCCCAACCGCCGTCAGCGGCTCGAAGACCCCAGCGCAGGCCCCGCGCGGCCGCCCTCACCTCCTCCATGGCGAGTCGCGGAGGTCCGGCCGCTCCGCCGCTCACCCCCGG